AGGGAAAATGGCCGTGGATCCTGTTTATACCCTGAGGTGGAGTTCGCAAACCGAGGTAAATTTTTGCAGCCGGAGCTGGTCGTAACCCGAAAAGATCGTTAACAGAGGCATTCGTAACCCGAGGTACCACTGTACTAACTCTTGAAGGGATGTATGTTCTAAAGTACAATTTTACCTAAAATATCCAAGCTGTTCATCAAGGTAATTTCTAAATTGGTTTACATGTAATTATTGCCATTGTATTCTTAACAAAACAGTGTTTTATTATTGTGCCAATGGCAGTTTATAGCATAAATTGAACAGCTTACTGTACAATTCTGTTTGCAGCCTCAAATGTTTTGAACATTTATAGTGTTTTAAGGAGCATTTTGAATAGTGTCCACATGGGAGGTTTAATATATGAATTGGTTTTAGAGTGTGAATGAAGAGAAAAGCATCTTGGAGTTGTGAGTTTAACTGCCAATTTGTGCAAGTACCAGAGCAGTCTTGATTCTGGAAGTAATCACAATTGGAAGTAATATAAGGACGTATTAACCCTCCCCTACAAACATGGAGTTTTTCTAGTTGTTTGCTTTGCTGTAATAAGCTCAAAGCTTACATAGGATTATCAGTTATGGCCAACATGCACATGCTATTCATATCAACATATAAAAAAACTATGAAGAGTTTGGCTTGGCTGAATCCGTTAATAAATAAGGCCATAATTATCAGTTCTTATCTTAATACACTTACTATATGAATGGCTGATATATTCATATTTATGTGTTAGAGGTAACTAAAATGGCCTTCTTGCAAAAACATTTTACCTTTATAGACTTCTTATATTCCAAATTTATTTAGGAAATTAATAATTTAGGAAGGGTATATGGGTGCTCATCTTACACAATAACCTTAGGTGGCTAACAACAATCTACAACCTTTTATCAACAAAATATAGAAACAAACTGAAAATAATCATAATACAATAACCAAGGCACTTGTAACAGACTTGCAAATCAAACCACACCTATATTGGGCTCAAGTAACATCCTGGTCAAACACCTAGGGCAAAGCCAAGTCTTGATGGACTTCCAGAATGCCAGGAGGGTTGGGGCCTTCCAGACCTCAAAAGGGAAGCTGTTCCATAGGGCAGCCATTGAGACAGAGAAGGTCTGGTCTTCCATCTACTTCACAGACTTGCTGTTGTGCAAGAGTAATATAGAAAACTTCTGCAAGCTTCTTCATTAGCATACATGCTATCTGTTATGTCAGGTGTGAACACTTTTTTTCCTTCTGAAATCCTTATTTCTTGAAGGAAAATATGTTGGGAACCATATGCTGAGTGGCTGAAGCAAGCAGTAGATGAGGCCGCAGCCAGAAGTCACTGGGGACACCCATTCACTTTTTTCTTTTTGTCATCCAAATATCTTTCTTTAAAACAGCTAGAAATTGAAATATAGCTCTGTTTCAAAGTGTAAAATTATCTTTTTCAGAGGATCTTTTGAAACTAGCCAGAGAAATCAGGAAATTAGACTGAGGACCATATATGGCTGTAGGGCCATAGATTGCCCACTTGTAGTTTATTTACTACTGCAAAAAAAAAGTTTTCACACTTGGAAGTAATCATACACATAACTATTTTATCATGTATAGTGCTGGTATAATCCCTATTATATCAAGTTGCAAATTGCAACCGATTTGTGCATTTCAGACTATCAGCTGAAGTCTAGGAAACATACAAATTATATTAGATCAATTCATGCATCTGATGCATAAAAATTCAACCTTGAATCCTTTTGCTGTGATATCATCATAAAAATGTTACAGTTCCATCTTTGTGAAACAGTTTTGTGAACTGTATTGCCTGTGTGTGTGTGTGTGTGTATAAAATCTAATATAATGAATACAGGTTATGGAAATGTTAAAAAGAACCATGACTGATAATGTGAGTTACATTTGGAAGAATGCATATCAAGTTGAAATGTAAAACAGCTGTGTCAAGCACATGATAAGTTGTATAGTCCCCGACTTAAGAACACCCGGTTTAAGGACCACACATAGTTAAGAACGGAGCCTATTGTGTAATGCAAATAGATTTTGATGGAATGTAAGTCACCATTTTCTCCTAAACCCTTAAGAGGATAAATGGAAAGAAAAAGGATGCCTGGAGCAGATTTGTTGTTTTACTGTTCTGCAGATTCAGCTTATAACCAAATAGCATCGTTCAGCCTAATTTTGAATATTGATATTGCCGCCTACTAAATATCAGTCTGAAATCCAAGCCGGTTCCTCCACCCCTTTTGTCTGTATTAAAGCGTGTAGCTCCCGCACGTGAAAGAAATGCGTCAATGACCGTTATGGCAGGGGAGGCGGATTTCCGACTGTCATGGTGGTAATTTTCTGCAAATGTATTTTTATTGGTTAATTCCCTGGACAGCGAGCCGGGAGAACTCCCTCCAGACGGCGGTTGTGTTTTCTGCCGTTGGCGCCAGGCCCCGGAGATGGCAGCGCGTTGCTGTTGCAAGTTACGCCGAGCCGGTTTATTTTTAACGCTTGCTGGCAGGTGGCGGCGGGGAAGGAAGAGCTGCCTAGCTTTTCTGTCAGCGATGCTGTGATGGTGGGCGGGAACGGCCCCTTTTCTCCTTCCTTGCGGGGTTGCGCCGCGCCGCGCCGCGCCTTCCTGTCCTCTGCACTGCAGAGGTTCCTCCAGCTAAGAGGCGCCCCGCTGCCTTCGCCGCCTCTCCAAAGCCGCGTTCCCGCTGCTCTAATTCTCTCCGCCCGCGGCCGCGCTCCCCCCGCCGCCATCGCTCATCATCCCTG